GTTTTCTTGTGTTATCGTTTTTTGTTTTTCTTGTTTTCTTGTGTTTTCGGCTCCTGGGTCGCGGTCTCGTTTCTCTGATCCTGGTTCGCGTTCTCGTGTTCTCGTTTTCTCGGCGCCTGGGTCGTGGTCCAGTTTTCTCGGACCCTGCTTCGTTTTCTCGTTTTCTCGGCCCCTGGGTCGGGGTTTTGTTTTCTCGGACGCTGGTTAGTATTCTCGTTTTCTCGTTGTCTCGCTCCCCTGGTGGTGGTCGTGTATTCTCTGACCCTGCTTCCTTTTCTCGTTTCTTCATTTTCTCGGCTCCTGGGTCGTGGTCTCGCTTTCTCGAACCAAGCGTTTTCTCGTGATCTCGGCCCCTGGGTCGTGGTTTCCTCGGATCCTGGCTCATTTTTCTTTTTCTCGTTTTCTCGGCCCCTGGGTCGTGGGTCGTTTTCGCGTTTTCTCATTTCCTCGGCTCCTGGGTCGTGGTCTCGTTTTCTCGGGGCCTGGTTCGTAGTCCCTGGGTCGTGGTTTCGTTCTCCCTGTTCCCGCTCGTTTTTTCGTTGTCTTGTTTTCTCGGCCCCTGGTTCGTAGTCTCGTTCTCTCGGGCCCTGATTCTTTTTATCGTTTTCTCGTTTTCTCGGCCCCTGGGTCGTGGCCGTGTTTTCTCGGACCCTGGTTCGTTTTCGCGTTTTCTGTGCTCTTGGGTCGTGGTCTCATTTGCTCGGACTTTGGTTTGGTTTTTCGTTTTCTCGTGTTCTCGGCCCCTGGGTCGTGGTCTCGTTTTCTCGGACCCTGGTTCGTTGTTTTGTTTTCTCGCTTTCTCGGCTTTTATTTTTTTGTGTTCTTTTTCGGGGCCTGGTTCGTGATCTCGTTTTCTTGTTTTCTTGGCCCCTGGGTCGTGGTGTCAATGTTCCTCGGACCCTTGTTAATTTCCTCGTGTTCTCGTGTTCTCGGCCACTGGGTCGTGGTCTCGTTTTCTTTGGCCCTGGTTCGTTTTTTGTTTTCTCGGCCCCTGGGTCGTGGTCTCCTTTTCTCTGACCTTGGTTCGGTTTCTCGTGTTCTCCGTATCTCGGCCCCTGGGTTGTGGTTTTGTTTTCTCTGACCCTGGTTTGTTTTCTCGTCTTCTCGTTTTCTCGGCCCCTGGGTCGTGGTCTCGTTTTCTCGGGCCCTGGTTCGTTTTCTCGTTTTCTCTTTGTCTCGGCCCCTGGGTTGTTGTCTCGTTTTCTCGGCCCCTGGTCCGTTGTCTTGTTTTCTTGTTTGGTCGGCCCCTGGGTCGTGGTATCGTTTGCTCTCACCCTGATTCGTTGTCTTGTTTTCTTGTTTTATCGTCCCCGGGGTCGTGGTTTTTTTTTCCCGGACCCTGGTTCGTTTTCTCGTTGCCTCGTTTTCTCGGCCCCTGGCTCGGACCCTGGTTTGTTTTATCGTTTTCGCATCCTGTCTGCCCCTTGGTCGTGGTCTCGTTTTCTCGGACCCCGTTTCGTTTTCTTGTTTTCTGGGCTCCTGGGTTGTGTTCTCATTTTTTTGACCCTGGTTCGTTTTCTCGCTTTCTCGGCCCCTGGGTCGTGGTTTGGTTTTCTCGGGCCATGGTTAGTTTTCTTGTTTTCTCGTTTTCTCTGCCCCTGGGTCGTGGTCTCCTTTTCTCGGGCACTGGTTTGTTTTTTTCTCGTTTTCTTTGCCCCTGGGTCGTAGTCTCGTGTTCTCTGGCCCTGGTTCGTGTTCTCGTTTCTTGTTTTCTCGGCGCCTGGGTCGTGGTCCAGTTTCCTGGTCCGTTGTCTTGTTTTCTTGTTTTGTCGGCCCCTGGGTCGTGGTCTCGTTTTCTAGGACCCTGGTTCGTTTTCTCGTTGTCTCGTTTTCTCGGCCCCTGGGTCGCGGCTTCGTTTTCTCGGACGCTGGTTTGTTTTCTCGTTGCCTCGTTTTCTCGGCCCCTGGTTTGTTTTATCGTTTTCTCGGGCCCTGATTCCTTTTTTCGTTTTTTCGTTTTCTCGGGCCCTGGGTCGTGGTCTCGTTTTCTAGGACCGATATTCACGTTTTCTCGGCCTGGGTCGTGGTCTCGTTTGCTCGGACCTTGGTTTGTTTTATTGTCTTCTCGTGTTCTCGGCCCTTGGGTCGTTATCGTGTTCTCTCGGACCCTGGTTCATTGTCTCGTTCTCTCGTTTTCTTGGCTTCTGGGTTTTCGTTTTGTTTTCTCGGGCGCCGGTTCGTTTTCTTGTTTTTCTCGTTTTCTCGGCCTTTGGGTTGTGATCTCGCTTTCTCGGACCCTTGTTCGTTTTCTCGATGTCTCGTTTTCTCGGCCCCTGGGTCGTGGTCTCGTTTTCTCGGGCACTGGTTTGTTTTTTTCTCGTTTTCTTTGCCCCTGGGTCGTAGTCTCGTGTTCTCTGGCCCTGGTTCGTGTTCTCGTTTCTTGTTTTCTCGGCGCCTGGGTCGTGGTCCAGTTTTCTCGGACTCTGGTTGGTTTTCTCGTTGTCTCGTTTTCTCGGCGCCTGGGTCGCGGCTTCATTTTCTCGGACGCTGGTTTGTTTTCTCGTTGCCTCGTTTTCTCGGCCCCTGGTTCGTAGTCTCGTTTTCTCGGGTCCCGGTTCGTTTTCTCGTTTTCTCTTTGTCTCGGCCCCTGGGTTGTTGTCTCGTTTTCTCGGCCCCTGGTCCGTTGTCTTGTTTTCTTGTTTTGTCGGCCCCTGGGTCGTGGTCTCGTTTTCTAGGACCCTGGTTCGTTTTCTCGTTGTCTCGTTTTCTCGGCCCCTGGGTCGCGGCTTCGTTTTCTCGGACGCTGGTTTGTTTTCTCGTTGCCTCGTTTTCTCGGCCCCTGGTTTGTTTTATCGTTTTCTCGGGCCCTGATTCCTTTTTTTCGTTTTTTCGTTTTCTCTGGCCCTGGGTCGTGGTCTCGTTTTCTAGGACCGATATTCGCGTTTTCTCGGCCTGGGTCGTGGTCTTGTTTGCTCGGACCTTGGTTTGTTTTATTGTCTTCTCGTGTTCTCGGCCCTTGGGTCGTTATCGTGTTCTCTCGGACCCTGGTTCATTGTCTCGTTCTCTCGTTTTCTTGGCTTCTGGGTTTTCGTTTTGTTTTCTCGGGCGCCGGTTCGTTTTCTTGTTTTTCTCGTTTTCTCGGCTTTTGGGTTGTGATCTCGCTTTCTCGGACCCTTGTTCGTTTTCTCGATGTCTCGTTTTCTCGGCCCCTGGGTCGTGGTCTCGTTTTCTCGGGCACTGGTTTGTTTTTTCTCGTTGTCTCGTTTTCTCGGCCCCTGGATCATGGTCTCGTTTTCTCGGACGCTGGTTTGTTTTCTCGTTGCCTCGTTTTCTCGGCCCCTGGTTTGTTTTATCGTTTTCTCGGGCCCTGATTCCTTTTTGGGTTTTCTCGTTTTTTCGGCCCCTGGGTTGTGGTCTCGTTTTCTAGGACCGATATAGGGGGGGGAGCTTCTGGAGCGGCAAACGGGGGAGGGGGGGGGTCTCTTCCCGGGGGGGGGGGGGGAAAAGGGGGGGGAGGGGGGGGGTGCTTCCGGGCAGAGGGGCAGAGGGCCCAAAGGGGGGGGGAGCCTTTGGAAAGGGGGAGGGGGGGGGGTAGCTTCCAACCGCCGAAATGGGGGGAGGGGGGGGTGGTAGCTTTCCGGGGGGCGGCGAAACAGGGAGGGGGGGGGGGTAACTTCCAGCAGGTGGGGTTCCAGGGAGGGGGGGGGTAGCTAAGGGGGGACCCCGTCCCCCCTTTGCTCCGTCACTGTGGGCGCACTCTCTCACACACCCAATGTGGCATTTTCACACACCCAGTACAGCGTTTTGTGGCCCCATAGGGAGCTCCACCGACGGCCCCAGTGCTGACGCCCGCATGTACAGCGTTTCGTGGCCCCGTAGGGAGCTCCACCGACGGCCCCAGTGCTACCCCCCGCATGCCTCCCCCCCACCCAGTACAGCGTTTCGTGGTCCCATAGGGGATAGGGAGCTTCACCGAAGGCCCCAGTGCTACCGCCCGCATGAGTCCCCCCCACCCAGTACAGCGCTTCGTGGCCCTATGAGGAGCTCCACCGACGTCCCCAGGGCGACCGCCCGCATGCATTCCCATCCAGCGCAGTGCTTCGTGGCCCCATAGGGAGCTTCACCGAAGAAGATATTCACAATTGCGGTACCCACAACTGCATATGGTCGGGTCCTTCGCCAGGATATTTTTTTCGAGCAGGGACCGTATTGAGTTTACCACCCCGAGCGGAGGTGATGGGACACAGTGCCATAAGCCTCCACCGTTCCACGAAGCTTTTGTTTGAAAAGAGGCTCGGTACCGAGCTGCAGCGGGCCCAGAGGGCTTTACCAAGCCAGGGGACCCGTAGGCTGACCCCTGCTATGCCGATACCGCCGCCAGCAGCTACCGAGCTCGCAAGACATGCGAGACGAGCCCTCGTCCTCTCCAGCAGGGGACTGACCAGTTGCCAAGGCTTCCTCCTCCTCCTCCTCCTCCTCCTCCTCCTCCTCCTCCTCCTCCTCCTCCTCTCCTCCCTCCTCCTCCTCCTCCTCCTCCCCCTCCCCCTCCTCCTCCTCCCCTCCTCCTCCTCCTCCTCCTCCTCCTCCTCCTTCTCCTCCTCCAGGGTTTGAGGTTCGAGGTCCCGGGATCGGGGCTCCTGGCCGTGGTCGGCCCTCCCTGGGCCTCCGAGGGCGCCCCGGAACCTTCCGAGGCCCCTGCACGCCTCCGCTCCTGCTCGTCGTCCCCCCTTCTCGCTGGCGGCGCGCGTAAGCAGCTTGGCATCGCTCGGACGGGTGTAGTCTTCTCTCGGCGAGGACCATCGAGGAGATTCGAGGAGCATCCTGGATCATCTTGCCAAAAGAAGCACGCACGCAACCGAATAATGAGCGGGGAATCTAGCACGCACGAAGCCGAAGAGCGAGCGGGGACTGGACGTCCGAGCGATGGCGCGAGGGAGGAGGGCTGGAGCGACGAGAGGGGCGGCCGTCTGCGAAGCCCCCCTGCGTGCTGAGAGAGGGCCGCCCCCCTCGCATCGCCGCCTTCCTTCCGCGCCCCGGCCACGCCCGCCTTCCCCTCTCGAGGTGGTCCCCGCGGTCCTCACCTACTACATGCGGCACCTCCGCGAGAAGCAGCCCGAGGCCGCCCCGCTTGCTCTGCCTGCTCCTGCTCATGGTGGTCCTCTCTGTCTCTCTCTCTCTCTCTTTTCCACTCGGCATCGCTCGGACGCGTGCATGTCTGCTCGGCGAGGGCCATCGAGGAGCATCCTGGATCATCTGGCCAAACAAGAGCACGCACGAAATCGAATAATGTACGGGGAATGGGCGTCCGAGCGATGGCGAGTTCATAGTTTCCCCAAACAGCTTGCTGAATGGGGTGTTGTCGTCGTAGAAGCTAGTTCTGACCGACGGAGGCTGAAGCAGAGACATCCTCAAACCGTTTCGCTCGAGACATCCTCACAACTCTCGTTTCAGAGTTGGCCAGGACTGGGCGTTCGCCTGAGACGTCCTCGAAGATTGGAGCTCCGAGATGCCGCGCTAGGGTGGTCCAGCGCGTTTCGCCTGGGACATCCTATCAATTCGGATGTCCGAGATGCCGCGCGCGAGGTGGTCCAGCGCGTTTCGCCAGGGACATCCTCGCAACTCTGGTCTCCGAGATGCCGCGCGAGAGGTGGACCCGCGCGCTTCGCCAGAGACATCCTTACATTTCTTGGCTTTGCGATGCCGCGCGCGGGGTGGTCCGGCGCTTTTCGCTTGAGACATCCTATCAATTCGGATGTCCGAGATGCCGCGCGGGGTGGTCCGGCGCGTTTCGCCTGAGTTGTCTTCGCATCTTTGAGCTCCGAGATGCTGCGCGCGAGGTGGTCCGGCGCGTTTCGCCTGAGACATCCTCCAAATTCTGGGCTCCGAGGGGGAGGCGGGGAGGAGGGGTCAGACCCAAGCTGACCCCTGGACTCCATTTCTGTTGTCGGATTGTGCTCTGGGAGGGGTCTGCGTGCCGCCTGCCTGCTCCATGCTCGCATGCCGCGCGCGAGGTGGCCTTCCTCGTTTACCCCAAGACACCCTCGCAGCTCTGAGCTCCGATGCCGCGCGCGAGGTGGTCCGGAGCGGTTTGCCCGAGACACCTTCCAATTCTGGGCTCCGAGGCGCCGCGACGCGAGGTGGTCCAGCGCATTTCGCCTGAGACCTCCTCGCAATGCTGGGATCCGGGATGCTGCGCGCGAGGTGGTCTGGCACGTTTCGCTTGAGACTTCCTCGAAATTCTGGCCTCCGAGAGGGAGGAGGGGGAATATGAAGGAGAGGTCAGACCCAGACGAACCATTTGATTACACTTATCTTGTCGAATTGTGCTCTGGGAGGGGGCAGCGGCGCCCGAGACATCCTCGCACCTCTGATCTTCGAGATGCTGCGAGAAAAGTGGTTTGGCCCGTTTTGCCTGAGACATTCTGGCATCTCTGGGCTCGAGATGCAGCGCGTGAGGTGGTCAGCGCGTTTCGCTTGAGACACCATCACGAATCTGAACTTCGAGATGCCGCGCGAGTGGTGGTCCGGCGCGTTTCGCCTGAGACATCCTCGCAACTCTTGGCTCCGAGATGCTGCGCGCGAGGTGTTCCGGCCCCTTATCGCCCGAAACATCCTCGAACCTCTGGTTCCGAGAGGGAGGAGGGAGGAGGGAGGAGGGAGGAGGGAGGAGGGGTCAAACCCAAACGAACCACGTGATTTTTTTTTCTGTTCTCGAATTGTGCTCCAGGCGGGGGGGTCTGGGCGCCGCCTAAGACATCGTCGCAACCCTGAGCTCCCAGATGTCGCGCACGAGGTGGTCCAGCCTTCGAGTTTGGCGTCGATTGCAGCAGAGACGGCGTCTTTGGCTGGGCCGCTCCCTCTGCGGTAGCTGGGGAGACCATTCGCGGCGTCCTGGAGCTGCAAGACAACGCAGGGAGAGGACCAGAACTGGGGAGTGGTGGTGGTCGGCCAGAAGCTCAACTATCGGGAATCGCCCCCGCGCGCTGGCCACGAAGGAGAGGGGTGGTCGGCCAGGAACTCCACTCTCGGGAATCGCCCCCGCGCGTTGGCCACGAAGGAGCCGAGGGCGAAGGCCCGAAGACGAGCGGGCCCCGAAGACGAGCGGGCGCCTCCCGGCCTGGGCCGAGCCTGGTAGGCCCCTCCCGCTCTCCCGCTGGGCGCGCCGGCCGCGGGAGGGGCGGGAGCGAAGAGGGGCGAGCGCGCGCCGCGCCGCGCCCAGCAGCGCCCGAAGCGAAGCATGCGAAGCGGGCCCTGGCTCTATCTGAGGCTTTCGCCCTCTCGCCTTCCCTACCGCCCGCCCCTCCCGCCCTCCCCCCCTCCATCTCTCTCTCTCTCTCTATATATATATATATATATATGTATATATTTCTCTTGATATGTATATGTACGTGTGAATGTATGTGTAAATGTGCAGGTATTTTTGTATAAATATATATATATATATATATATATATATATACGTGTATGCATGTATGTGTGTACATGTCGATGCATATATGTATACACATATACATATATATGTATATGTATATGTATGTGTACAGGCATATATCGATGTAGAGTGTATGTTTGCATACATAAAAACATATGTATGTGCATGTATATGTATATGTATATGCATGTGCGTATGGATGTGTGTTTGTGTATGTGTATGTATACGTGTATGTGTCTGTGTATGTGTATGTGTATGTGTATGGATGTATGTATGTATGTATGGATGCATGCATGCATGCATGCATGTATGTATGTATGTGTATGTGTGTTTGTATGTGTATGTGTATGTGTATGTGTATGTGTATGTGTATGTGTATGTGTATGTGTATGTGTATGTGTATGTGTATGTGTATGTGTATGTGCATGTATGTTTATATATATGTGTGTGTGTTGCTTCTCTCTCTCTCTCTCCCTCCCTCCCTCCACCTCTCTGTTTTGTTTATCTCTCTCTCTCTCTCCCTCCCTCCCTCCATCTCCCTCTCGCTCTCTCTATGCCTCTTTCTCTCTCTCTCTCTCTCTCTTGCTTTGTCTGTATACGTCGTCTGCTGTTCTCTCCCGCTCCCTCTCTATGCAGACAGTATTCTCTAGTTAATTGTCCCCCTCCCGTAAAGAAAGACGGAGACGGGGTCTACGCGAAGTGCGAGCTACATTTTGGTTCTATGCAATTTGATTGTTTTCTCTTGTTTGCTTTGTTGCTTCTCTCGCTCCCTTTCTCTCTATCCACGTCTCTCTCTCTCTCTCGCTCTCTCTCCCCCTCTCTCTCTGTCATCGCTCTTTTGCTGTTTTCGATCTCTCTCTCTCTCTCTGTCTCTCTCGCTAGCCTTCTCGCCTTCGCCTTCTCCCCTCCCACAGGATTCGAACCTCCATTTGGGAGGCCAAGCCGTCACCTTGAGGAAAGACTGTCCCCGAACAGCGCGTCCAGAACGGACGTCTCCTGGGCCCTGCCCCTCCCGATCTTCTGCGCTCTTTCCCTGTATTCCTTTTCTCTTCCTGTCACATGGAGGAAAGAATATAGTGGAGGCCCTTGCCAAGAAACACCCTGTTTGCCTCCAGGGTGCCCTAGGTTTCGTGGGTTTCGATGGTTCTGTCATGGAGGGCGTGACGTTCCCGCGCCAAGAATCAATGGACTTCCTGGGGGTCCAGGGTTGGGTTTCTCGTGGAAGGTTTCTTGTGGCCGGGCCCCCACTGCGCCCGAGGCTGGAGGAACAGCGCGTTCAGGATGCAAGGCCTTCGCTCCCGATCCTCTGGGCTCTTTCCCTGCAAGCCTTTCTCTTCCTGCAACACGGAGGACAGAATGCCCGAGGATGGAGGAGCAACGCGTCCAGGATGGAAGATCCCCGGGCTCTTCCCTCCCGATCCTCTGGGCTCTCTCCCTGCACTAGGAAGGCCTCGCGGCCAGCGCCGCCGACCCTGAAGGGGGACGAGGGGGACGACGGCGACGTCGGCGGCGGCGGCGACGACGCCGACGCTCTGGGGCCCTTCTTGGGGCTTTCTTGGGAGCCGATGGGGCTCTGTCCCCGGCATTCCCCTTTTCTCTCCCTGCAGCATTGGAAGACACTGGACGGAGAGACGCGGGCGGAGGCCCGGCGCCGCGTCCCGGGCGAGTTCTTGCTGACCGCCGCCGCCGTGGGCATCCTCGCGAAGGTCGGGGCGGGTGCGTGAGCCCCTTCGGGGGGGAAGGCGGGCGGGGGGGGGGCGCGACGTGTAGGAGGGGCTTGTCATGGCGCCAGCATCGCAGAGCGGATCTCGTCCAGAAGACAATGGGATGGGCCCTGATTGTCCTGGAGAGTTTCGCTCCGGATTTCGAAATTAATTTCGTGCGGATTTGTATGGCCAGGAATGAAGACCACAAGAAATCCACGTGAAAGTCACTTCGTTTTTCGCTCGCCGTTTCGGGGTTGTGCATTGACAGAAATCCACGCGCAAATCCGCTGCAGCACGTCTGCAAGGTCGGCGCAGTGAGGGTTTGTCCTGGAGTCGGCATCACTGAGCGCGTCCGTGCTCGCCAACCTGAAAGCAGGCCGGGCCGCGAGGGCGCGGGTCACCGACCACCCAATCGTCGATTGCACGTACGAGTGACCTTTCGCCAGAGTGACCTTTAGTGCCTCCGCCTCCTCCTCCTCCTCCTCCTCCTCCTCCTCCTCCGCCCTCCTCCTCCTCCTCCTCCGCCCTCCTCCTGCCCATCTTCATCCTCATCCTCCTCCTCCTCCTCCACCTCGTCCTCCGCCTCATCCTCCTTCTCCACCTCCCTCCTCCCTCCTCCCTCCTCCTCCTCCTCCTCCGCCTCCTCCTCCTCCTCCGCCTCCTCCGCCCTTCTCCTTCTCCTCCTCCTCCTCCTCCCTTCTCCTCCTCCCTTCTCCTCCTCCCCCTCCTCCTCCTCCTTCTCCTCTCCTCCTCCCTCCTTCTTTTCCCCCTCCTCCTCCTCCTCCTCCTCCTCCTCCTCCTCCTCCTCCTCCTCCTCCTCCTCCTCCTCTCCTCCTCCTCCTCCTCCTCCTCCTCCTCCTCCTCCTCCTCCTCCTCCCTCCCCTCCTCCTCCTCTCCTCCTCCTCCTCCTCCTCCTCCCCTCCTCCTCCCTCCTCCTCCTCCTTCTCCTCCTCCCTCCTCCTCCTCCTCCTTCTCCTCCTCCTCCTTCTTTTCCTCCTCCTCCTCCTCTCCTCCTCCTCCTCTTCCTCCTCCTCCTCCTCATCATCATCATCAGCAGCAGCATCATCATCGTCCGCCCTCCGCCCTGCTCCTCCTCCTTCTCCTCCTCCTCCTCCTCCTCCTCCTCGTCCTCCTCCTCCTTCTCCTCCTTCTCCTTGTAGATCACTTCTCCCTGTCGCACCCCGAGGCCAGATTTAGTGCGTGCCGGGCGTTTCGCCTGAGACGTCCTCACCAGTCATGACTCTAAAGCTTTAAAAGTGACAACAGTTTTGCAGATGGAGGGCGGGTCGTTTTCAAACTGCGGTTTTCTCCTTAGCGCCGCGCACCGCGCACATTCGTTTTCAAAGTTTGCAAGAGTTTCACGGATTGAGGGCGGGTGGTTTTCAACATGTGGTTCTCGCTTTAGCGCCGCGCACATTCGCTTTAAATATGTGCAATAATTTCACGGGTTGAGGGCGGGTCGTTTTCACAAAGTGTGGCTCTCGCCGTAGCGCCGCGCACATTTGTTTAAACGTTTGCAAGAGTTTCACGGATTGCAGGCGGGTCGTTTTTACATTGTGGCTCTCGCCTTAGCGCCGCGCACAGTCGTTTTCAAAGTTTACAAGAGTTTCACGGATTGAGGGCGGGTGGTTTTCAAAATTTGACTCTCGCCTTAGCGCCGCGCACATTCGTATTACACATGTGCAGGAGCTTCACTGATTGAGGGCGAGTCGTTTTCAAAATGTGGCTCTCGCCGTAGCGCCGCGCACATTCGTTGTAACAATGTGCAAGGGTTTCACGGATTGAGGGTGGGTCGTTTTCAAAATGTGGTTCTCGCCTTAGCGCCGCACACATAGTTGCAAGAGCTTCACGGACGGAGAGCGGTTCTTTTTCAAAATGTGGTTCTCGCCGTAGCGCCGCGCACATTCGTTCATACCATGTGGAAGGGTTTCACGGATTCCCATGGTCATCGTACCGGACAGGGTGTTTTGGCTGTGGGAGGATTCAAGATTAAACGGGCGCAGCAGTTAGGTTGATTTGTTGTGTTTTGGCATGCTTCAGGGTCTTCAAGGGTGTCTTCCGTCGAGAAAGTTCCTTCAATGGAAATGAACCGTTGTAGGGGCCTATGAAGAGGGAGCTTGGGAGGAGGGTCGATTCTAACATCGTTGATGACTTTTGAGTTTACATTGGTCCTCCTCCTCCGTCCTCTTCCTAATGCTCCCTCCCTCCTCCTCCTCCTCCTCCTCCTCCTCCTCCTCCTCCGTCCTCCTCCTCCTCCTCCTCCTCCTCCTCCTCCTCTTCCTTGTCCCCCTCCTCCCCCCGCTCCTCCTCCTCATCCTTCTTCTTCCTCCTCTCTCGTCCTCGTCTCCTCCTCCTCCTCCTCCTCTCCTCCCCCTCCTCCTCCTCCTCCCTCCTCCTCCTCCTCCTTCCGCCTCCTCCTCCTCCTCCCTCCTCCTGCTCCTCCGTCCTCCTACTCCTCCTCTTCCTCCTTCTCCTCTCTCCCTCCCTCCTCCTCCTCCTCCTCCTCCTCCTCCTCCTCCTCCCCTCCTCCTCCTCCTCCTCCTCCTCCTCCTCCTCCTCCTCCTCCTCCTCCTCCTCCTCCTCTCCTCCTCCTCCTCCCCTCCTCCCCTCCTCCTCCTCCTCCTCCTCCTCTCCCTTCTCCTCCTCCTCCTCCTCCTCCTTCCTCCTCCTCCTCCTCCTCCTCCTCCTCTCTCCCATCACTCCTCCTCCTCCTCTCCTCTCTCCTCCTCCTCCTCCTCCTCCCTCCCTCCTCTCCTCCTATCCTCCTCCCTCCTATTCCTCCTCCTCCTCCTGCTCCTCCTCCTCCTCCTCTGCCCTCCTCCTCTTCTCCTCCTCCCCCCCCTCCAACTCCTCCTCCTCCTCCTTCCTCCTCCTCCTCTCCTCCTCAGCATCCTCATCATCATCATTATCGTCCTCCTCCTTCCTCCTCCTCCTCATCCTCGTCCTCGTCCTCCTCCTCCTCCTCCTCCTCTTCCTCCTCCGCCCTATTCCTCCTCCTTCTCCTCCTTTTCCTCTCCCCACATCACTCCTTCTCCTCCTCCTCCTCATCCTCCTCCTCCTCCTCTCTCCCTCCTCCTCCTCCTCCTCCTCCTCCTCCGCCTCCTCCTCCTCCTCCCATCACTTCTCCACCTCCTCCTTTTCCTCCCTCCTCCTCTTCATTATTATTATCATCATCATCACCATCCACCTTCTTTTTACGTGCGACCAACCTGAGCGTTAAGCTGTGGCGTGTGGTAGCGGAAAAAAAAAACGACCTGGGTCAAACAACACCTGGCGGGCGCCGCGGAAAATGTAAGAGAGCGAGCGCTGGACGAGACTATTAGTGAGAGTAGGCGCCCGCCAGGTGTGACGATACTCACCTTAGCGGGGAAACAACGACAATAACAATAATGGTAAACATAACAAGGTAACACCTTGAGATCGATGGTGAGTGTCGTCGCGGCAGGCCAAATACAGTGCAACGACACGGACCTAAGTGAGTAAACGAAGCAATGTATAATGATTAGAGTAGACGTAAGATTCATTGGTCGTGCCGTCACTGTATATAAAGTTAGGGCAAGTGCAACGACGCCAAGCGTGAGAAAGAGCGGCACTGTAGCAGTTGTAGGGTTGCTGCCCAGGGTTTTTGTGTACCCCAAACCGTAGCTTAACTCCCCAACCCCCATAACCATTTCCAATCCCAATCCTCCATCGCCCCCGTGACTCGTCCCTCAACCCCCCAACCCCCCGGCCGGATTTCTTTTCTTCTTTCCGAGGGGGGTCAACCTTCGCGGCGACCCGTTTAAACCCGGGACCCCTGGCGGCGCATGGATTTCTTTCCTTCTTCCCCGCGCGCGTTGCCGTTGGAACCCCTGAACCCCAATATATTGGGTTTCCAATATACTGGGTTTCCAATATATTGGGTTTCCAATATACTGGGTTTCCAATATAATGGGTTTCAAATGTATTGGGTTTCCAATGTATTAGGTTTCCGATAGATTGGGTTTCCAATGTATTGGGTTTCTAATAAATTGGGTTTCCAATATATCGGGCTTCTAATATATTGGGTTTCGAATATATTGGGTTTCCAATATAGTGGGTTTCCAATATATTGAGTTTCCAATATATTGCGTTTCCAATATACTGGGTTCCCAATCTATAAGCCCGAACCCGAACCCAAACCTCACCGGCTGTAATTCAGTTGTTCCCGTACTAATACAAATCCCTAGTGCAACCGCGATTAAGGTGTTGTTGCATTGCACTTACAGTCTCGGCTCTCACGCTTTTCTTCCTCTGGTTGCGCTTGGGGGGGTGGGACCCCTCGCGCGGGCACCCCCGCGGCTGGGAGTTCATTCCTCTTCCGGAATTTGAGGGGGGGGTAACCCCCGTGCTCGAACCCCATCGCCAGGGTTTTTTTCTTTCCTCCGCGGAAACCGGACCCCCTGGGTTCTTCGGCGCGCCCCATTTTTTTTTTCTTTCCAGTTGGGCCTCCATGGGTCTTAGGTTGGAGTCACCCGGGTGATAATCCTCCTCCTCATCCTCCTAGCTTCCTCCCTCCTCCTCCTCCTCCTCCTCCTCCTCCTCCTCCTCCTCCTCCCCCTCCTCCTCCACCCTCCTCCTCCCCCTCCTCCTTCTCCCCTTCTCCTCCTCCTCCTCCTCCTCTCCGCCCAGTTCCTGCTCTTTCCTCTCCACCCCCCGTCACGAGCGGTATAACGATTCATGTTCGAGAGGGGGGTGTTTTTTGTTTTCCGGTAGACCCCCCCCCGCCGCTGCGGCTTGCCCTGCGCTTCTCCTGCCCCGTCCTTGCCCCCTCCTTCGTTCGTGCTCTTCTTCGTGGTCGCCTCTCCCTCTCTCTATCTCTCTGTCTCTCCTCGTCGTTCTTCTCTCGTTGCTTGCCTGCTGGGGTGCGGTCTCAGCCCGCCGTCCTGGAGGCATCGCCCCCTGCGGGGCCCGTGAGGTCTTTCGCCTCCCGCTCGCACGGGCTTCGCTGGCTGCGATCGGTCCTCGCACTCGCTCGAAGA